ACTTATATGGCTGGGCTTGGTGGCAGACGCCTGTAATCCTAGCACTCTGGGAAGCTGAGGCGGGTGGATTGCTTGAGCTCTTAAGTTGCAGACCAGCCTGAGCAAAAAGCAAGACCCTGTCTCTACTAAAAATAGAAAAACTGAGGCAAAAGGATTGCTTGAGCCCAAGAGCTGGAGATTGCTGTGAGCTATGACGCCACAGCACTCTACCCAAGGTGACAGTTTGAGACTCTGTTTCAAAAAAGAAAAATAATAAAAGTACTTTTATGTTACATTCCATGGACTCATCATGGGGAAGAATGAAACACAGACCATTCTTTGTAATGAATCATAATTTAGGGAGGAATGGAGCTCATTCAAAAACTGCCTGGCACAGGATCTCATTCTCTTTTGATTTATAGTTTACAAAAGATAAAGTGTAGGCTAAAGTATTCCAAAATTATACCACAGAACTATGAAGAACTTGAGCCAAAACTTTAAATGAGTAATAATGCTTTCTCCCTTTTTCTAGCTGAGGTCTGCTATTTATTTTCATTCCAACAAACCACTTTTTGGCTTTATAATTTATACCATTTGCTTAATCTTTATTATATCTTTTACTTTGCTTAGATTTCTTTGAAAACTTTCTTGCTTTTAACGTAAGAGACTAAAAATTTTCTTTTAAGAACGGCTTTATATATAGCACAAAGATATAGATAATGGTTATAATAAAATTTTTCTAGATATTGGATAATTTTGATTTACTCTTTAATTGTTTAAAAAATATATATTCATTCTTGGTAACAAGATAGACTTAAATACTCATAGTTTGAAATTTATACTTTAATTGAAAAATAGTATCTCTACTTTGTGGAATTTATGAACATTTCCCTAAAATACTTTCATTAATATATTTTGTCAATGCTCCAAGGTCATTTTAAAGGTTTATTCTTTGCTTCAGAGTTTATTAAGATATATCATATTCATTTATAAAATATGCTATTTATAATTTCTAGAGTTGGGGTCAGTAAAATTTCTCTGTATAAGGCAAGAGGGCTGTGCTGATTATATGATCTTTGTTGCAACTACTTAACTCTGCCTTGTACCATGAACACATAAATGAATGGACATAGCTGTGTTCCAATAAATCTTTCCTTACCAAAACAGGAAGCAGGGATAATTTCATCTGAGGGTGATGAATAATGCTTCTGTTTTTCTTTAAAACACTTACAGTTTTTAAATGTAATTAATACTTTGGTGCAAAAGTATTCAAAACTTTTAAATATAATTTTTAAAATTTTCTACTTTTTAAATATCCTCTTAAAATTATCTATTTTAGCATTATCAAAATGCCCTTTTTCTCATCTGTTTCTGACCTGAATTGAAACTTAAGTATTAGTTACATAATAAAACACTGAAGTATTTTTGTGTTTATTGCCTTAGGGACTCATAACCATATTGTGAACTTCCCAAATTAGTTTTTAAATGTATCTCTTTGATAAAATCTGATAGTGTTCTCTCTTAATAATTTCATCCATTTATAAATACATTAGCTTATGCACCAAGTATGTTTGTCTACATTATGCCATGAATTTGTATAGCTTTTGTCCAGACAAGAGTTGATAACGGAGGCCTGACACTGCTACCCTTAGAAAGTCTTTCTTCCATGATTAGCACTTGGCTAGCATCTAGGAACTTAGATTTCATGAGGGTTTCCAAGATTCCTAGAATTGCTAAGAGGGGTTCATTGTGCCAAAACTATTTGTATAAACAGTATATGATGAACCCTGTCTTTATCTGAAAGTCTGAGATATTGGTAAATGTTAGACAGAGGGTGAGTACATGAGTAGCCAATGATTAAAAAACCTGGGAACCTAGTTTCTAATGAACTTTCCAGGTAGACAACATTTCACGTAGATTATCATAATTTATTGCTTAGGGAACTAACTTTGTACTACATGAACTCAGAAGCTTGTGACTAGTTTCCTATAAACTTTGCCTCAAGTACCTATTTTCTTTGCTGATCTTGTTTTATATCCTTTCACAGAATAAATTTTAGCCATGAATCTGACTATATGCTGAGTTGTATGAGAACTCCTAGTGAATCAATGCACTTTCTGCCATATTCATAACTCACCTAGGGAGCTCCTGCTTAGAAATTCTTTGCCTTTGTCTAATAACCATGCATCTTCTCCTTGTTCCAATGTGAAGATCAGTTCTGGTTTTGTAAAGCAGTACCCTGTAAATGGGAAATAATTAAAGACTTGAGTTAGCTATATAAATTTTCCTGTTTCTGAATGTGAAGAAAAGTACAACTTAAGAAATGACACATTAAGGTTGCTCATCTCATTGGACCTTTTTGGAAGAGGACAATTTTTTTTATGTTCATAAATGATCACTCTCTTTGAGCCCCTGAACTGCCAGTCTAAATTCTAAAATAGTCAACGTCTTAGGTTTCTAACAAGAGATTTCATGAGGACTTCTCAGATTTACCCTTCATCTAAAAAACAATGAAATTTGTTTGAAAGTATCAAACTAATTTCAAGTAATTTAACTACATCCCAGAAATGATTTAAAAACTTTTCAAAGGATGCAACAAAATCTAGCACCTAGCAATGTAAAATTCACAATATCCAGCACGCATGTGGTATGAATAGAAGCAGCAATTTCTCTTGTCAAGAAGTAAAGCTGATTAGTAGCAACAGAGTAAGAAATGACACATATCAAACAACTAAGTCAAGCTCACTAGAACAGCAGTCATACTTCATATGTTTAAGAAGGACAAAAAAATGAAGATGATAAGAAAAAAGGAAAGATATTTTAAAAGTTCCAAACTGAAATTCTAGATATAAAAAATACAATATCTGAAATGAGAAAACAAATCCACCGAACAACAAATGAGAAAACATTGGATAGGATTAATAAGAATATAGACAACACATAAACAAATGACATAAAGATCAAAACTTAAAAAAAAACTATAAAAGAAGAAACCCACAGTGAATGAAGACTAGAAAATAATAAGCAGTTATCTATGACCTGTGGGATAATGTCAAGTAGTCTAACAGATGTATAATTAGCATTCCAGAAGAAAAAAGGGAGAAGGGTAAAACAATTGAAGAAATAATGGCCAAACATTCTAATTTTGGTGATGTAGATAATTACATCCAATAATGTAGATAAAATGGAATTATTAAAAATACAAATTCTAAGGCAGAAAAAATGGAAAAAAAGAACAGATAGGAAAAATTGTTAGCATGTAGTTAAATGTTAGATTTATACCCAATTTTGTATATCCATAATAACATTTAACCTACATGATTTAATAATTATTACAATTAAAAGGGAGAGATCAAGAGACTGTATGTAAAAGCAAAATCTATGTTAGTCTATTTTCTCTAATTAGTCTCTTATAACAAAATATTAAAAACTGGGTGACCCAACTATATGCTGTCAGCAAAATATTCACTTAAAAATAATAGATTAAAAGTTCATTTTTGTTGAGCCTCATTATTTTTCTCTATAAAGGTTGAGTTATTTTTATTGTTCTATCATAAAGTTCAGTGACTCTTTACTCCACCCTCTCCATTCTGCTGCTGTGCCCATAAATTGCTTTTTAAAAAATAAACATTTTATTTTAGAATAGATTTAGAGTCACAAAAAAGTTGCAAGCACAGAAATGAGAATTCCTGTGTACCTTGAACCTATTTCACACACTGTAAACATCGTAAATTACAATGCTAAGTCTGTCACAGCTAATGATACAATATTGGAAAATTATTTAAATAAAGTCCATACTTTATTCAGATGTCCTTATATTTTTATCCAATGCCTTTTTTCTGTTCCACAGCTTTGTCCATGATTCCATGTTATGTTTAGTCACGTCATCTTAAGCTCTAAACTGTATTTTTGATACCCTTCATACTTTAAAGGTCATTGTAGAATGTCAAGTGTCTGCCATTCTTACCACATATCATCAAAGGTACATGCTATCAACCTTGATTACCTAGCTTAGGTAGTGTATGTGAGAGTTCTCCACCAAAAAGTAACTTCTTTTTCTGTCAGTGCACACTATACTCTACAGAAGAAAGTCACCAGACTCAGCCTACTAAAGGGGTGGAAATTTCTGACCTATTTCCTTCAATGGGCAGTACTATGTAAATTATTAGGAATTCTTCTGTTTGGGGAATTTTTCTATTCTCTCCCATTTATTTATTATAAATTTATTTATACAATCACTTATCTATATCAGTATGGATTCATGGGTATTTTCCACTTTCGATTATAAACCAATACTATGTTATTTATTTTATTGCTTAACACTTACAACTTGGGCTGTTGGGAGATATTTCAATTGGCTCGTCTTTGACATACCCTTAACCAGAGTTTAGATGGTTTGTCCCTTCCAAGACCCATGTTAAAATGTGACTACAGGTGTGGCATCTGTGGCTCAGTGAATAGGGTGCCGGCCCCATACACCAAGGGTGGTGGCTTCAAACCTGGCCCTGGCCAAACTGCAACAAAAAAATAACCAGGTGTTGTGGCAGGTGCTTGTAGTCCCAGCTACTCAGGAGGCTGAGGCAAGAGAATCACCTAAGCCCAGGAGCTGGAGGTTGCTGTGAGCTGTGTGACACCATGGCACTCTATCAAGGGTGATAAAGTGAGACTTAAAAAAAAAAAAGAAAGAAAATTGACTATAAAGTGGTGGTGTTGGGAAGAGGGGTCTAGCGGGAGATGTTTGATTCATGGGGTGTGATTCCTCATGAATACATTAAACCCCTCCTATGAGGGTAAGTTCTTCGTCTCGTGAGAACGGATTAGTTCCTGCAAGAGCTGGTTGTTGAAAAGAATCTGGCTTCCTCACTTTCTCAGTCTTTCTTCCTGTCTTGCCAGGTAATCTCTGTGCACATGCTCACTCTCCTTCTGCTTTCCACCATAAGCTGAAGCAGCATGAGGCCCCTTATCAGATAAAGGTGCCCAATCTTGGACTTTCTATCCACTAGAACTGTGAGCCAAATAAATTTATTTTCTACATAAATTATCTAGTTTCAGGTTTTCTGTAACAAAAAATGAACTAAGGTAGGAAATTGGTACCAAGGATTGAAGTGTTGCTATAGAGTTACCTGGGAAAATGTGGAATCAAGTAATGGGTAGTGGCTGGAAGAATTTGGAGAAGCAGGATAAAAAAAAAGTATTGCCATGAACAGAACATTTAAAGTCATTATGACGATGGTCACAAGGAAAGAAAAAGACAAGGGGAAATTTAGAGATTGCTCCAAGAAGACCAACTAGAGCCATATTCTCACTTGCCTCTCCAGGGAAATCTTAATTTCTCATTTTTTGAATGATAGTTTTACTGGAAATAGAATTTTCAGTTGATATGAGTTTGTTTTTTTTTTTTTTTAAAGCACTTTAAATCTATCAACCCACTACCTTCTGGTTACCAATGATTCTGCTCATAATTTTACCAAGTTCCATTGCATGTGATATGTGTCACTTCTCTTGCTGCTTTCAAGATTTCCTTTTAGTCATTGTGTTATGACAGTTTGATTATGTAATTCAGTTTGTATTTCTTTAGGTTTATAATGTTGGAATTTATTCAACATATTAGATTTGTAGATTCATGTCTTTTAATAAATGTGTAAAGGTTTTAGCTAATATTTCTTCAAATAACTTTCTGTTCCCCTATCTCATTCTTCTGAAATTCCCATAATGTATGTGTTGGCTGGCTTGATAGTACCCCACCAGTCTATGAGACTCTTTTCACTTTTCTTAATCTTTTTTTTACTTTATGTTCCACAGATGAAGACTTCGATTATCTTCAAATCCACTAATTTTTTTTCTCTGCCTGCTCAAATCTGCTGTTGAACCTGTGTAGGCAAAATTTTCATTTCTTGTATAGTAACTATCAACTCCAGAATTTGGTTCCTTTTCATAATTTCCATCTTTTTGCTGTTATTTTATTTTATTAAATCATAGCTATGTACATTAATGTAATCATGGGGTACAATGTGCTGGTTTTATATACCATTTGAAATATTTTCATCAAACTGGTTAACAGCCTTCACTGCATTTTCTTAGTTATTAAGACATTTATACTCTACACTTAGTAAATTTAACATGTACCCTTGTAAAATGCACTGTAGGTGTGTTCCCATCAGTTATCTTCCCTCCACCTACCCTTCCCCCTCCCCTCCCCTCCCCTTCCTTTCCCCTTCATTTTGGGTTATAGTTGGGTTACAGCTTTCATATGAAAGCTATAAATTCGTTTCATAGTAGGGCTGAGTACACAGGATACTTGTTCTTTCATTCTTGAGATACTTTACTAAGAAGAATATGTTCCAGCTCCATCCATGTAAACATGAAAGAGGTAAAGTCTCCATCTTTTTTAAAGGCTGCATAATATTCCATAGTGTACATATACCACAATTAATCCACTCATGGGTCAATGGGCACTTCTTCCATGACTTAGCAATTATGAATTGGGTTGCAATAAATATTCTGATACAAATATCTTTGTTATAATCTGACTTTTGGTCTTCTGGATATATACCTACTGGAGAAACTGAAGAATCAAATGGCAGGTCTTATTTTTTAGATCCCCAAGTGATCTCCAAACATCTTTCAAAAAGGAAGATATTAGTTTGCATTCCCACCAGAAGTGCAGAAGTGTTCCCTTTTCTCCACATCCATGCCAACATCTCTGGTTTTGGGATTTTGTGATGTGAGTAATAGAATTCTGATGTGAAGCCATCTAGTCCTGGGCTTTTCTTTTTAGGGAGAATTTGTATAATTGATGCTATTTCAGAACTTGATATAGGCCTATTCAACATTTCCACTTCATTCTGGCTAGGTCTAGGAAGGTGGTAAGCTTCCAAGCTTTGATCTCTTTCCTTCAAATTTTTGTATTTCTGAGAATACAGTTTCTTGTAATATTCATTAAAGGTTTTTGAATTTCTGAGGAGACTGTTGTTATTTCGTCTTTGCCATTTCTGCTTGATGACATTACAGATTTTACTCTTTTTTTTTTTTTTTTTTTAGCCAAAGGTTTATCTATTTTATTGACCTCAAAAAACCAACTATTTGATTTCTTGATCTCTTGTATAATCCTTTTGTTTTCAATTTCATTTAATTCTGGTTATTTCTTTTCTTCTCCTGGGTTTGGGATTGGAATGTTCTTCCTTTTCCAGTTGCTTGAGATGCCCCATTAAGTTGTTATCTTCCTCCCTTTCTGTTGTC